ACTCCTTTTAGCTGGAATTAAGCTCAGACAATGAGAAACCAAGGGAAAGAGCAATATCCTGTGCTACAATGATAGAAGAATTATGTTACCTGAAATTCTGGCATGACACTAAGAAATGAACCTACTCCTTGCTTCTGAGAAAGGTAAGCAAACAGAAATACCCAACTTCAAACCAGGTAACTATCCCTACTCTTTCTCTCTATCCATTACCTAAGCAGAACATTCCTCGCTGAACTACACATCTGGTGATCAGCTTAGTCCTGCATAAACAAGCAAAACATCATGTATATGATATATGGAAGGGTTTTATTCTACTGGGAGTAACAACCTTGTTCTCCCTCCTCAGTGTCCAGATGTACATCATATCTGACACTACAAAGGTCTGTTGTGGATGCCCCATCTCTGGAAGTGTTCAAGGCCATGTTAGATGGTGATTGGAACAACGTGGTGTAGAGGAAGGTCTACCTACCCATGGTAGGGGAGGTTGGAACCAGATGATCTTTAAGGTCCCTTCCAACGCAAATCATTCTATGACTCTATGATTCTGTAAAAACACTGAAGTCTTAACCTTCAGTTTTAAAGTTGAAAACTTCAGAATACCATAGAAGATAACATATTAATATGCTATTAAAGCCATCTAAAAAAAATTACACTCTTTAAAATCAGTATAAAATCAATTCTGCTCTTATTACAACAATAGATGAAGCCCTGCATTTCTTACCTAAATAAAAACATATTTTGGGGGGATTTAGCTTAAAATAATTATCTTTTTTTTACTACATTATATAGATTTGAATTATATTTGCCTTTCAAGTATGACAAATTACATCAGATAAAAATTTCAAGAAAAGTCTCTGTTAACTCTCTTAACAAACATACTGATTGAATTTATTCTAAGTGTTAAAATTTAAATGCACAGTTTCGACCCTAAAGCTGACAGGCTGTTGACAGCTGTGTCTTTGCATTAATTTCACAAATACAAACACTTCTGTTGAGTCTGTGCACTACTTAGTTGTAGACATTTTCCTTGTGTGACAGGTCATGTGCAACATCTTCTACAATTTGCTTCAGTTTAGTTGAGCAGGCATTTTGCATCCAAAGGCAAAAGGAAGACAACTTCCATCTTTGATTACACATATACAATATGTATAAGTGTCAAAGATGACTGTGACTGGCATGTGACTTGATTCTGTGATTCACTGGTGTCAAGTTATTTATTAAACTAGGCAGGTACTCACAATTTTTTTGTTACTGCTGAATGAATGAATTTCAATTCCCATTTCCAAACTCTACTGACACTTTCAGGTGCTCTTATGGAAAACACTTCTATGGCTATTCACTCCATGGAATCCTACCATGCTGGACTACTGGACAGTCCATCAAAATCAGTGCTGGGGAGCTCATTGACATGGGGAGCTCAAGAGAAACAAAGCTCACAAAACAGCAAAATTAAGTACCTTTGAAAATGTCAATTCCAAATGGGTAGCTTTCATAACTTTTTTTGGTGCTGACAAGCTACAGTTCCCAATTATTTCGATTCAACTACACTTGATTACTAATATATATCATAGAAATGTACAGCATATAAGAATTACAAAAGGAAACATAATGATAAGTAATATTGTTACTTTGGATTAGTATGAAGCCACCATCTATGCTCATTCAAGTGTTCACAGAGACAATGAGTATGATAGACAAGTAAATGAAAATGTAATGTAAACACATAACTTGTTATCTGAAAATTAAATGTGCCATCTCTGAAACCAATGTTATTTGGATTTTTTGATATTATTATTATCTGATTAGCTACCAGGTTACTTTTCAGCTTTTCACTTATACTAGATTAGATAAAACATTGCAATAATTCCCTTTAAAAGGTGCATTAAAGAAGAAAATTATATTTAAAGCAGTTCTAAGACATAGATAATTTAATCATCCTAGCCATAGTCTCCATAATCTCTTTCCCTGAAATGTTGCAAAAAACCATTTTCCATTGGAAGAAATGCATGAATGATGAAAGTGCACTGCCTGAAGGACAAGGTATCATTTCATTGTAAATCTTAGAGAGATCAATTTTATTCTTTCTCTTTTAGTCCTACCAATTGCATAAGGATCAACTTTTTGGCTCAACTGCCATTAAAAAAAACCAAAACCTGTGAATCGTGTACATGAACACAGGAACACCCTTTTCACCTGCAGTGTTTATGAATGCAGACAAAGACATAACCCTGAAACATGAACTATTAAAAAAGTGATGGGATATTCATCCATGCAAAAAATATTCATATACACACTCCATTTCCCTAAGGTAGTGAAAGATCAATCTTGCATTTCCATTTTATTCTTTTATGTTCAGCTCTAGTAAATTCTCTTTTCCAGAGTGAGCTGTTTTGTAAGTTTTTCTGTACTGAACTTCACTTTTTTCAATGACAGAATTAATCCCTTCTACCTTTCTCTTATTATAACTAGGAAATTTCTCTTCAGTCAGGAGAAACAAAAGTGTCCACAGAGAATTAACAAAGACTTTAGCTGTTGTGGGCACTGTACAAACAAAGAATGAAAAAAACAGTCCCAGTGCCAAAAATATTTTACAGTTGAGGTAGCATCTCACCTTCACACTTAGCAGGATAATCCAAAAGTGATCCTGTATTTAAACTTAAGAATAACAACATGTGGCTCTAAGTACAGAGATCTACAGTTGAAAAAATGTCAACAAGGTTTACACTTTGCCAACAGTGACACTGCTTTCAGAGAACTTTTGAGTGTGATAAAATGTACAAAACAAGAAATCACTGTCCATTCTTTCCTGTGATATGGTCCTAAACCCACGGTATAAACAAACGGACATTCTGGAGGGAATACTATAAGTCTTATTGGAACTACATAATTTGAACCTTATACTGCAGAACTCTTCTTCACAACATAACTGGTCTGAGTATTCGAGAACTTAAACTGATATAGAAACTGCAAAAGCAATTCATACCCCTATTTCCAGATGCTGATGGGGTCAATTAATTACATTCTGCGAGGCTCACTGTAAATATTTTCTTTTTTTGGTCACATGGCTTTTCCTCCTTTAGGTACCTGATCACAGTGTAAGATAATTGAACCTCAGATACATAATCAATAAAGCTCTATCAGAGAGTATAATAAGCTTAACGCTTAACAGAACATGCAGGCAGAAAATTATGGTCATGATAGGTTTACAGAGCAGCTTCCTCACCATGTGCTGCATGGCACAGTTAATGCAGTCCACTTCATATTCATGGAAGTTTTTCATTGTTCTTGCACTTGTCTACTTGCACCCCATTTTCCATTAAAATGTCCCCCTCATTTATTTAGACTGTAACTACTTTGAGACATGGGTTATTTGTTTCTTGATGGCTGCATATTAGTGAGAACAATATAGCTCCTTTCTGTTTAGGCCCAAGGCAAGACAGTAAAGAACATGTGGCTAAAAAAGAAACAATGGTGCACAAGCCCTTTGTTTCCATGTCTCATAAATGAATACTGTATGTGTTCAAACTCTACAGTAAACAATCAGCTTTAAACAATCAGCTTTAAACAATCAGCTACTTACAGAATGTATCATCCATCCTACAAAGCATACAATTCATATCAAGTATATATACATATATGTATCTATGAAATAAGTGAAGTGAATAGCTTGTTCTCGGAAATAGTTTCACTATGCTGAGTAGAACCAAACACTTTCTCAAAGTCTCTGAGCAATGTTCTTCAAGATGCTGTTCCAAATCCCCTACATGAAACTTTAATCCTTATGTGACTTTCCCCCTCTGTGCTTATCCTGCATTAGGGAATGATGTTTATATGGAGTGACAATGCCACGACTACAGTTTTCCCTTCAAAATTCCAACTCTTTTCCAAGCAGTAACAGTGTGGGAAGTACTTAATATCCGTACAAATACATGAAGCTGCAGAAACTGCTTACAGTGGGAACCTTGGAGGGTATAACCAGCTAATTCTGCATTTGAAAGCCACCACAAATTATCAAACACTCTTTATCCTGTCCAGTCTATATTAATAACTCCTGTATTCACAGATAACCGAACATAAAAGATAAATGTTGCTGAAGAACTTGAGTGACAACTCTTCCAGAGTTCTGACAAGTAAAATACTGACCCTGCAACTGACAGAAGAGAATGGTCTTAGACAAAAGGACAGCTAAGGACATATCCAATTACAAAGGTATTTTTTAGCCAAGACTTATTCCTCTTATTCATAAATAATGATCTGGTTCCCAAATATTAAGTCCCAAATATTAAGAGAAAGAAATACCGCAGAAATGAAAAATTTTGAACCAAATTATGTCAGTCTTCTTTGACCCCTACATGAAACAGCCCTCAAAACTTGTGTAACTGCTTGATAATCCTCCTTATCCAAAACAAACAAATTCATAATGGATTTGAGATATGAGACCTTTTGGTCTGGGAAAGATAAAAGATGTACACATTGGGACACAAGATTATCCAAAGAATCACAAATGGCCAAGAAACCTCATGAGGGTCAAAAAGGACAGCTAACTAAGGCAATTATAAATCTGGTGTTATCTGCCTTTCAGAAGGCACGTGTAGTAATTTCAAGGTAAATGCATTACAGACTGTGCCACAAGAGCTGGATGTCGTATAATTAGAAAGAAAATGCTTTAATTTTCTAAACAATTGGCAGTAACCCCATATTGCCATGTAACCCCTATATTGCCCAATGAATTGCCATGTAAAACACAAAGTGCCTTCCAAATTCTGAACATGAACTTGTGTTCAATATGTAATATGGATTTCCCTATTTCCAGGAAAAGCAATGAAGGAAATAGCCATTACTTTAGACAGCAGATGTTCCTCCAGACTTCTCAGCAGGATGTGCAAAAAGCCTACATACACAGGTATTGGAAATGAGTGTGTCAGCCCTCATGCTGTACTGATTGCTGTAGAATTGCATATTATAAAAAAAAAAAAAAAAGGCAAGCAAATACTTCTTACCATAAAACCCTCAGTGTACTGAAACTGAGCTCTGGAACTGTCTTCTGCTGTGGGACTCAGGGGCTTAGGATCAGACATAGAGCGTTGCATCATCTTTGCTGCCTTTGGGCTTGGAGGAACCTTGGCAATGTCAGCATGCAGCATCTTCTGAGGGCTGATGTCATCAGTGATGGGTTTTTCATAGGGTACAAATGCTGACTCTATAACTTTGCTTGGTGAAACAGGTGAAATGGGTGAATAGAGAACTTTGGGAGATTTGGGAGGGGAAGGGACTACCTGCAATGTGGAGTCTGGACGAAGGTGGGATGAGTATCCTATCTCTAATGGTGTTGGACGTTTTTTATCTTTCTGAGGAGATGAAGCTGACAGATATTGGGGACTTTGAGTATCTGAATCTGTCTCCTTTATATGTCTTTTCTGGAGCTGAAATGTGCTTTATGATTTCAACCTTAGCGTCCAATCGGGCCCTGATTGAAGGTGTTCTTATTGTTCC